AACTTCGGGAACTCTTTGAGTCTGGTGTCCCAAAAGAATGCCGTACTGGTTTAACTTAAGGCCTCCCTCCCCCCCGCGAAGTCGAGGAACCATTGGAAACCAAGCGGGTCCTTTCCCCAAGAAGAAATCCTCATATAGCTGTGGGAGAGTTAAGAGGCACCAAACACCGCTCGCCAAACAGAAAGCCAGAAACGTCGTTGAAAAAGGCAGCGCATGCGAAGCTTTGGCCTGCACGTACGCACATCTGGAGGGCAGGCTGTGCGGGCTGGAGCCGCACACGCAAGCTGAAAGCCGACAGCAGCCGAAGGATGCGACTTTCAAATTGCGGAAGGGCCCGAAATGACCTGGTAGGAGAGACTGGCGCATGGGAGCCGCGTCCCACACCTCCAGACATCACACTTCGCTGCGCTTGTTGGAGTCGGGGCTCACACCAAAAGCTTGGAGAGCGGCTCCACAAATCATGTCTGTTTTGCAGGTGAATAAGGCTCGCTGCCTTTCAGGGCCTGCGTCAAGACACTCCGCGCCTCCAAAAATCACATTTCACAGCGCCCGTTGCAGTGTTACCGCGCCCTCGGATGTGGGCTCAGTCCAAAAGCACGGCAAACGGCAGTTCTCCTAGCACGTTGAAACGGACGTTCCGGCGCTTTCCGCAAATCGGGTAAGGGACTCCTCGAAGGCGACAGGTGAATGGAAGCCGTACGAAAATGCGACATACGTATTGGAATGAAAAAAGGTAGCCCGGCTTTCTTGACAGCAGCTGTCTTCCAAGTGTCCGAGGCTCGCTGAATTTCAGGGCCTGCATCACTGGAATGTGTAAATGCGGCTGCGGGTCAATGAATGCTCAAAAGTGGATGGACCGCTAGCCCAGCTCCCCTTCGGGAAGACTCAGCACCGCCGGCTCCACCGCCGACTACAAGAAGGCAAAGCAAGCAGACCTGTCACTGGGGCGGGGGAAAGCAACAGACCAGCCCTTGACCCAGGCTTCCCGAGAAACACGCTTCACCACTAGCAACACAATGCCTTTTCCCTGGCTTTCTGGGTTCTAGTTGACTGACCCATGAAGAAACGCAACAATAACCGCGGAGCCAGAGGATCTTTGGCAAGTCGACATCTGAATTCCAAATCTGGGGAAGCCATCGCCCCAAGCTTACCGGCCATGTAGAAGCTTGGATATGCCGCATCGGTGGAATCTCGGCTCCAATTACGAGGCCACGACTGCTTCAAGACTCTTGCCTTGTATTGCAAAACAGTTGCTTCAGCTGCAGACTGACACCTGATACGCTTCTCAGCATTACGCTCCTGTGCTTTTCCCCGCAATGTACTCATTGGGGGAGAAGTCAAGCTGACTCTTCACATCCGCCCGAGAAAGCTTTGAAGAAACGCAACAATGCCCGCATCTATGACCGCAGACCACTCCAAGTGCTTGTGGCAAAATGGGGCATCGCGCTTTTCAGTGTGGCGCAGACGACTTCCCAAAACAAGCAGACCTGAGAGCCAGAGGATGTTTGGCCAGGGAACATGCGCTGTAGAAGTTTGGCTCCAACAAACTGCAGGCCACACTTGTTCGAAGCTTTCCGGCTTGCTTTACAAAGATTTGGCAGGGCTTCAGCCGCAGACTGACATCATTTACGCTTGTTAGCATTACCCTCCTGCAGTTTCCACTGAACACAGCTTGCCGCATCTAGTCAAAGCCAAGTCTCAGCGCAGCTACGAAGAAACGCAACAATGGCCGCAGCTATGACCCAAAACATTCCAAGTGCTCACGGCAGAAGCATTGCACACTTGGCGCAAGGTCCATGGCAAGCAGACATGCTCGAGCCAGAGCTTGCTTGGCCATGCTCGAAGATTGCACACATCTTTTGCGCTTAGCATCACTGCGTTGCCTGAACATGGCTCGCAGGGATCTAGTCAAGCCGAGTCACGCCCACCCACCTGCAGCAGTGCAGCAATGCAGTCATACGGCACTGCCTGCAGCTAAGACCGAAATCACTCCAAGCGCTCGCAGCAGAACCTAGCAGTGAGCATGCCATTATGGCGCAAACGCGGTTGGTAGAAGCTTTGCTCCAGCAGACTACTGGCCACACTTACTGCAAGCTTGGAATCTTGTTTTACCAGGATTGGAATTGCTTCAGTTGCAGACTGACACAGACTGTTGCACTTCTCAGCGCTACCCAAGCGAGTGTTCGCCCATAGCTCGGTGGATCCAGTCAAAGCTGAGTCTCAACATCCAGCCATATGCAGCAACGCAGAAACGCAGAAATGCAACGCACGCAGCCATGACCGCAGACCACTCCAAGTGATTGTGGCAGACTGGAGCTTCGCGCATGTGCTCCGCAAAGCAAGCAGATCTGAGAGCTGGATGCTACGCAGTGGGACATGAATCCCCCAATCTTGACACACCCGCCTGGCCTTGCTTCAGACTGGCATGCCTGCTGTGCAGAGCTCAGGGTTGCCAGGCACATAGCTCGGTGGGATCCGGCCACAGCTTCACATCATGAAGAGGTAGCGGCCAAAGGGGAATGGGGGAAAGCTCCCCAAGCAACGGCACCTTTTGTGGCGCTCTGTCCGCTGTGCCACATTGTCGCTCCAACAGACTGCAGGCCAGACTGGCTCCAAGCCTACCGCCCTGTTTTACAAAGATTGGCATTGCTTCGCCAGGCTGGCATCTGCTACGCTCCTTGGCGCTACCCCCTTTGTGCTTGCCCGGAGCATAGGTGGGCTGGGGCCTAGACAAAGCTGAGCCTCAGCATCCAGCCTAACGTGGCTATAAAGAAACAAAACAGTGGCCGTAGCTATGACCCAAATCACTCCAAGCGCTTGCAGCAGAATCGGGCATTTCGTAAGCCAAAATGGCACAACTTCCAAAGCAAGCGGACGTGAGAGCCAGAGGATGTTTGGCCAAGGAACATGCGCTGTAGAAGGTTGGCTCCAACAGACAGCAGGCCACACTTGGTCCAAGCTCCCCGGCATGGTTTATGAAAATCGGCTGCTGCTGCAGAGTGACATCTTTTACACTCCTATGCCTTACCCTTTTGCGTTTCTGAGCACAGTTCGTTGGATCTAGTCAAATCTGAGTCGCAACATCCGGAACTGCGGCAATCCCAGGAACCCCTCCAAGTCCTCCCTGCAGCATGGAGCATTCTGCGTTTCACCCTGTCGCAATTACGAGCCAAAGCACGTTTGGCCAGCGTGCGCGCAGGCTCGGGCACCCTACGTGGCACTCCGCAGCCACATGTTCCCTGGAAACTTGGCTTGACCAAACAGCGGGCCACACTGCTCCAAGCTGGCAAGCTTGATGTTCACAAATTGGCAGTGCTTCAATGTAGAACCCTTCTTGGCTAGCCTGCAGCGTTTTCTCCAGAACGTGGCTCACAGGGATCTAGTCAAAGCTGGGTCTTAGCAATGCAGAAACATTGCAACGCTGGCAGCTGAGACCGACGTTGGTCAAAGTGTTCGCAGCAGAATCTAGCATTGAGCATTTCACCATGGCGCAAATACTTCCCAAAGCAAGCGACCTATGTTCTGTAAAAGCTCGGCTCCAACAGACTGCAGGCCACACTTGCACCAAGCTTCCCGGCTTGTTGCTTCAGCTGCAGAAAAACTTTATTTATTTTTCTTAGCATTGCCCTCCTTCGTTTTCTCTTGAACGCAGCTGGCCGGATCTAGTCAAGGCCAAGTGTCAACATGCAGCCCAACGCTTGTTAGCATTTCCCGCGTCCACTGAACACAGCTCGCCGCATCTAGTCAAAGTTAAGTCTCAATGCAGCTACGAAGAAATGCAACAATGGCCGCGGCTAGGACCCATTTCATTCCAAGTGTTTATGGCAGTATGGAGCATTGCACATTTCTTTCTGGCGCAATTACTTCCGAGGCAGGCAGAAGGGAAGGATGTTTGGCCAGATGCGTTCTCACGAGTTTGGTTCCATTCGGCAGCCAGCCAAACTTGCGCCTTCCTTTGAAAGCAGCAAGAGCTGTTAGGACTCCAATACTCAGAAAGACCCACTGAGCGCAAGCCACACGTTTTTGAAGCTTCCCAGCCCGTGAGAAAGTATTGAGGCCTGCCAGACACATCACAAAGAAGAAAGTCTTCAAACATGGTTAATCGAGGTGCAGCAGCGATTTCTGGCCCGTCGTCAGGCATCGCGAGCACTTCGGTGGACTGTTCATTCGACCGATGGTATGATTTGCGGCTGATGCGCTGACTGGATCGTGCACCCCTGGACCCTCAAACTACCTTATTGCCCCAAACATGGGGGAATTGCCGTTTTGATGGGTGGTTTGAAACAAACAGTTTCGCTGTCAAACATAGGTGCTGCAAAATGAAGCCCTCATAAAGGGAAACGGGACTAAAACCTGCGGTCCCCTGCTGGTTTAATTTTGACCCACACCCATATGAATGGGTGTCGGGTTCCATGTTTTTCTCATGGCCTACAACCCTGTCTTTGCCTTTTGACCGCTCTCCGCAAATTGACTTCCAGTTGGTTAAGGCCCCAGGCCAAAAAACATATTTCCGGTGGTGATGAATTCCTTTTACAACCAACAAGGGAAAATAACAAATATTCTTAAGCAAATGGAGATTGAGGATTTTTGAAGGAGTTCTAGAAACTTCCATCGAAACGTTTTGAACCTCACGGAGGGGGCAGCATGCTTTCTCCTGGAAGAAACATGTCCAGCAGTGATAGATTCCCCTTGAAACCAACAGGCGAAAACAACAGCACATAGTCTTCGGCAACAGGAAGTTTAGGGCTGCTAAGTGCTTATCCCATGCAAGTTCCCCCGGTCGATGTTGTGGGGCCCGACGCCGAAACCGAACTTCGAAGTCGCGCCTTGCCAGTGATCGTCACTTGTTTGTTGATCTCCCTGGCGAGATCAAGCTCAGTCACCCCGAGCTCATAACTTCAAAGCCGAATCAAGTCATCGCAAGATGAGGTTGCTTGACTCTTCAGCCCCGTGTTTGGCGAGGAAAAAAAACCGGCGCTGATAATTTCCTATCTTCGGAAACCATCGGAGCTGAGTTCACCGCCCTGAACAAGTGACATTGAACAAACAGAAACATACCTACCCTGAGGCTCCCGATGGTTTTTGGGCCGTCAAGATGGGCTGTTTTCAAGGGCTCCTCAGGGGTCTGGGTTCTTCGTTAGAGGGCCCGGAGCCTGCATTATGGGGGTCATGAGCCTTGGGGTACTTTCATTTTTCTGCCCAAACGTGGCTTCATTAGTTCAGGCTTCGCAGCGCCCAAGAAAACCTGCTCGGAGTAGGCCGCCTTGAAACGTCGGCAGTGAGCTCACTTCAAAACGGCAACTGGAAGGTGATGTATCTGGGGACCCCAAAGGAGTGAGACGAGCATCGGAACAAGAAGAAGATCCGGAACCGAAGACTCCATTTGCTTGCTTCAAGAGGCAGCGTATTTCAGGCAAGTTTTGAAACCTGTTTTGGTACCCCACTTCTGGAACTACCACCATGGTCAGTGGCTTATAACCAATACTATTCTCCACTTACTCTTAAATGGCCACAAACAACTCAAGATATCAATCGGTTGTGGTCCTCCAACACCAGGGGAAGAAAACCAATAAGCGACAGCTTCCACAATGTGTCCCGCAATGGACATGGGGACATTGGTGTCCCTTTAGAGGAAGGTGAGAGACTGCCCCAAACCTCAAATTGACCGACTGGAGATTTTACCCGAACCTCGAATCACGGGAGGCTGACAGAAAAGACACGAGCAAAAGCACCCCTCGAGTTGACTGAGGTCGCGACCTAAACATGAAACACGGGTGCCACTGGCAATCTTGATCACATTGGAAAACTCGCATTGCACGGAGCGAGGAAACACTATGGGACACACACAAGAAAAGTAACACACACACACACACAAGATCGAGCAAACATCACACAAACACGAACAATGAAGTACGACTATAGCATCGCAAGCGAAACACCCCCCCAACCCAGCCCTGCCTGGGCAGCCGGAATGACCGGTTCTTTCTGGTGGCTCATCTAACAACCTTTTTCCCGTCAAACACTTCGAATCTGCTGGTTTGGGAAACCACCAAGTGGTTGTTCCGGGCCCCAGGTGGTTGGTGAATTCCCACTTGTGTTTCAGCTGGTAGTTTGACGGTTTCTGGGTGCCCGTTTTGACTTACTTGCCCAAAGCACCTGGAAATAAAATGTGTACCTTTTAAGGCCTCAACTAAAACTGGATCACGATGGGAAAACCAAAACGTCAAAAGGTCGATTCGCTTTGAACAAGAGTTGAAGGGATCCCGCATTCCCGCAAAAAGACTTGCAGGTCAAGCGCCACAAGCAAGTTGACCTGCCTGAACTCGATCTTCGTGCCGAGCTCCGCGCTGGCCGTCCAAGTCACCCGCTTCTGGGCGGAGCGCTTTTTTCTTTTTCCCCCGGGCGGTTTGGGGATCCCACCTCAGGAAAACGCGGAGACTCTCTCCATACACGGGCAGTTTTACGAGGGGACTGGGTGGACATATAATTTAGGTCGGGAGTGTCCTCCAACCACTTTCAAGGGGTTTCTCAGGAGAAAATCGCTGAAATCCAGAGATGGCTTCTGTGGGCTTCCGCCACTGGTTCCCGGTCGTTTTTCTGAGCCGGGTTCCTCACATTCCACCCGAGCGTTTTTGGTCAGGGAAAGTGAAGGAGAAACCAACTTTCTAGCCCTCCAAATTCAAAATGTGCATTGCCACATGCCAAAATCTAAGTGGCCTAAATGTCGTCAAGTCTAGGCGAAGAGGCAGGACCCGGATAACCCCTTGAACAATTCTGAAAATTCTGAGGTCCCTAAGATTCCAAGAAGCTGTTTCCCGCCTTTGGCTTCCCAAGCCTCTACAGTAACATGAACAGCCCAGCTCCTTCTCTCACTTAGCTTACGCACGCCTGTGTTATTGGAAGGCCTTTACTAAACATAAAGAAAACGGGTCTTTTAGCGCACTTGTCTGACTCATCATGTCAGTTGAAACGAGCAAATGTGTTTTTTCGTGCTGGGTGGGTGTCTTTCTTGCTGGTTTTCCGATACCTTTTTGGATCCCTTCCCCCAACAGCCCATGGCATGGCGAACCCCGACTTTCCCGGTGCCGCTCAAGGCCCGTGGCTTGGAAGAGGCCGCTCTTTCTGCGTTTTTCAGGCCAAGACAGGCCGGCGCTGAGAAGTGTTCTTCTCAAACAACAAGAGGAAATTATTCAGGTTCCCCTCAGTGGTTTGGATTGGTTCGGATTTGGACTTGCCATGGTTGAACGAGTGCAAATGGGAAACTGCTCCTCGGGAGCCCCCTTCTAAACGAATGAACGGAGCAAAAACCCGTCTGGAGCAAGCTCTTGTAGCATCACCTCGTCTGCCACGCCTCGCCTGGTCGTTGAACTCCTGGAAGGTGCCAGTATCCCCGAGCTTCAAGGCCAAGTTGTCTTTGAACTCCTGGACATTCGGCACGTCCGGGTCTTTGGACAGTGTGTCGTTTTGTAAAGAGAGAGAAACAACCCAAAATGGTAGTAG